ATGTATGAATAGGAGAAAAGAATGCCAATACAGTAAATCCTCGAGGAGTGCTCCAAAGCTCCCCGGCAAAGAACATTAAATATTTCATAAACTAATGGTCATATGCGGTTGACAAATATCATTGGCTTCAGAATTCCAAGCTCTATCGCTGTGCTAAACCTCATTAAAATGTCAGCGTTACATCTGGGGAACTATCCTTGTCAGTCTCGAGGAGCGTTCGGACACTCATCGAGGATTTACTTTGCAGTAAATTTTACTACGATTTACAGCGTAATCACCCGATGTTCATCCCCACCACTAGGTCTTTCAAATTCACTCGCTGTACTTCTCTAAGTTCGGCGTTGAATCTATACAGTGCGTGGCATAGCTATAAAACCACCCTAAAATTTTCGATCCTTACGTATTATGGTTACAATGAAAAAGAACAACTTTTTCCTAGAAATATAATTTATTCTTTTCAGATATGGCATACTTGGTTCGTTTTTATTTTAACCACAATATGTACATAAAAACTGAAAATTTTAGGGTGGTTTCATAGTTATGCCCACGCAGTGTATTTAGAATCGATTCCTCTACTTCGCGAGCACCCACGCTTCAGTCCGAATTTTACTACTAATCCAAGTTTTACTGCACATAAAGACTGATTTCAGTCTGATCGTTCACGTTACCAGAAACTATTGTGGAATGATTGGTAAGGTGATAGTGTATTCCAAACTCATTTCCGTGTCATTGTACCGGAGACAGCTATTAATCTAAAATCGAGTCGTCATAATTTCAGTCCGGTCAACGGTGAAATTTAACACATTCCACGCAGTCCGATTCGACGAATTGCGCGTACAGAATTATTAACACGAGAATTTCATGTGCACGGTCCGCTAGACTCCCCCTCCATCCCATAAATCCCCCGATTAGCTATGCATGTACCGTTGCAAAATAAATTATACAAATATACGCGGACGTCCCTAGCTGGCCTCCAATCGGAGAACCTGTGCGCAGTGTCTATGCATCACGCGATGAACGTTTTCATACCGTGGCAGGAATTCAACTATTTATTTTATTCGTTCGTCGAAAACCTCGTGTGTATTCTGATGCGTTATTACATATAGATACACTACCGGCGAAAAGTTAATTGATCAATCGATAAACATGGCAAACTGTTGGAAATTTACAAACTTATAAATTAACTAATTTCCTCACTTTCATATCGTAATAAAAGTTTCAAAGATCTCAGAAAATGTATTGGTATAATATATTAATCATAGTTATAGGAGTGTACTGACAAGTCATTTTGACTTGTTTGGTAGTTCTAATGTTAAAGAAAGAGAAAAATATTATGTTACAAAGATATGACAAAAGTAATGTTCTAAAACTAATTGGACATGATTTGTGTATGTACTGAATCCGTCACTTTGATTGTATCGTAATAGAATAATGAGAGACTGTTCTATCGATCGTGAACTCTGGTCCCATACTTTTGGCTGGTAGTATACAGGGTAAATTAATAAAAGCTACTATCTAAAATAACTCGTTACTTATTGGTTGTATCAGAAAACGTTTCCCAAATGAGTTTTTACAAAATCAGTACGAAAAAAAAATTTTAAAAGCGGGTCAACAAAATTATTTAAAAATCAGTTAGTGACAAATAAATTAGACTGCGTCTGAAGCCTCAAAAAGCACACATAGCATTCTAACTTTAACTAAAAAATGAAAATATATAGGGGTCCAAATATTTTGAAAAATCTTGAAAACCGATAATTTGTTAGATAGGACATTCTTACTAAGAAATATATCATTAACGTTCGGTAAGAATAGAAATACATATTGGACAACTGACAACGTTCAATTCTTTCGTAAAAGAAGCTTCTTTGTGAAATCACTGTTCTATATTTCCGTATTATTTCTTGAACACCATATATGCTACCGTACCGTTTTATTAAATTTCAATCAAGTTGCCGTTATTACACGTCACTCTTCCGCGCGAAGTCTCTTTGACGTGATTACGCACGCCGTACTCCGGTTTCGAAAGTTTTCTTTTTTTTTTATTTTCCACGACGTGGTACACAGGTTTTCCCTCTTTGTTCCCGGGGAAAAAAATTTTTTTAATTCTTTGCCGTTGACCGACGAAGCTTCCCTGAAAAATCTCCGAGCTTACCACGGGGAATTTTTCGTTTCCTTTGAGCACCGGGAAGTTCTACTTTCATCGAACCGCCCCCGACAGTATTCAACTGGGACGTTTTGAAACACGTTAAAATCCTATCCAATATCCGTATAACATATCCAATGTCTCATCCGTGCACACACGTCTGCATTATACGCAATGTATGCTAGATAATCATGATAATGGCGATCTTAGCGTTCAGGTACTTCGGTAGAAAATAAAGAATAAATTCATTTCTTTCTTGTCTGACCTGTCTTTTACATTTTGTTATTTATATTTATATTAATGATGATAAAATTTGATATCAGTAGCATAATAATTTAAAAATGTATGCTGATATGCTGAGAATATGGTAAAATTAATGAGAATCGGATAACATCATGCAATCATTAATATCCGCGAGTAGAAACAGTCACTAATGATCAGACACGACAGATATATCGTATTCTACAACACATAGGGTAAATGTCCAAATTACTGTCAGCGTCCCTAATAATGCCAATTTATTTATTTTACATAATAAAACCGTGACGTATAAAGAATTGTATACAAACAAATTTATTATTAAATTGGATTTATAATTTACATAAAAACAAAGGAATATATATGTATATACTTGTATGTACCTGGTATTGAAAAATTAATGTTGGAAAATGAAAGTGCAATTTGAAGGTCAAAAACGCGACTACGTATGTAAGTTACAAGTGATGGCGAAATCAAACCAAAGAACGAGCAGTACTTTTACTGTTCAACCAATATCTATTGTATAAAATGAATTGTTACAATTTGTAAGAATTACTTTAATTTTTAAGGTGACAGTTTTATAGGGACGCTGGGATTGCTCGTAGGTTTAAATTAATTATTAATTAATTCTTCATACTTAATGTATGAAACTATTTTTTTTTAAATAAAAGAGATGTTAAATATTATTATGTTCCATATTGAAACGATTTGTAGGTTAAACGACACATAAAATGATTAAATGAAGTGTCGCTACAATCTTCAGGTGCCAGCAATTGGTACATTTACCCCAAAATCATTCAAAAACAGATTTAATAAAACTAAATTCCCATGCAAAAAATATATTTTACACACTCGATTTATTTCTACAGGAAGTAAAAGCACAGTTTCTATATTCGATAAAAAAAGTGAAGTGACCAAATTGGAATCAGTCCGGTTCATCTGTCAGCGAATCAGCTACTGTCAGACCAGCCTTTGGACAGAAGAACATTCGAGATGAAGCTATCAAGACCTGCTCGAAGAAGCTGATAGGAGGTCTCCTAGAATAGGAGTTAATGAAAAGTTCTCTGACCACGCGTCAGCTGCTATTGAGAATAGAACGACCGGTTGAAGGTGTTCTCGATCAGCAAGAAAGTTTTTTGCTGGTCTCTAGACTTCCAGGAACTTTCCACCCTTGATTACGAGTATAGTAAGTCCCACCCGTTTCTGTCTTGTTCCTTTGTAGTCGTTACTCTGAAGTTGCCTTCGTTAAACATTCAACACGTCCAATGCGACAAAGAACATATTCTCACGTCTCACGTATCTTCGCTCTTTGCAAGTGAATCGTAGAATAAAATAGGTACTCGAGTAACCCTCATGATTCTATAGACAAGTCACCTGGACTCGTCGATAAACAGAGTCAGTGAACTCTTTACCCGTTGACAGAGGGAATATGACCTTCTATATGTATATGTATAAGTATACAGATAGAGGGTGATTAAAGTGGATTAAGAGAACGGTGTACCACTGCACGAGTAAACGCGTTTTTCTCGAAACCATGTTTTCAAAATTGGCTACCAAGATATCGTAATAATGAGTTAACCAAACTACTTCAGTTTCGACATACTACATAATAGAATAGACGAATCTTTATCTTGTGAACTACCATTATCTCAATATCTGGAATAGTTTCCTTTAATCACCTGAAGAAACTACAAACTCATCGAATTTTTTATTCACATGGCTGCCATTTTGTGAAGAAAAGTTTTTCCTACTTCATAGTAGTTCGAAAAATAGCGACTTTTATGATTATCTTTCATTTTTGCCCGATGAATAGAACAATATGAATCGTAGCAACCATTCAGAGCGATACGCCGCAACAAACGTGCAATAACTTTGTTAATATAAAAGATAATAACACAAAAATTTTACTATGCTTTCTTGAAATGTGAACTAAAATGTACGAAAAACTACAAGTTCCTTGGTCCATTAATTCTCAGTTCTAACAATCGCTTAAAAATGAAGCCTCCAAGTGGGAATGCGCCCTTAACTTCGTTTCTCTGCTTCTGTAAACGCTCCAAGATGCTCCCGTCTCATGAGCTACCAAAGAGGCACCACTCTCCACTACGAAAAACGATCGTAGCGACCGTACTTGTCGAAGGGTT